TTACCGCTGTCCGATCAGTTTCGCCCCGAGTTCGGCCATTTTTCTCACTTTTCAGGGTACTGCTACACATACCAAAAGTTTTCCAATGCCCATCTCACGTGAGAAAAAACTTTTTTATTTCACCGGGGTATCCCCTTAATAAATTAACGAATAAATAATTGATTTTGATGAATTGATGAATTCATTAATTTGGAAAAGAACTTCCTGTGGTAACAGTGATTACGAATATTCGGTAATCACTCACTGTAATCAATGTAATCATTCGTATTCATGTAATCACCGTTTTGGGCAGTGGTAATCACCGTAATCACGTGCAATCGATTACATTTTGTAATCATGGTATCACCCCATTTGAATGGGAATAGCCTCTCGTATTTTGATAATTCATTATTCGATAATTTGTCTTAATCTTCATTGTGATTAACAATAATAGCAATATTGATAATGACAATAATAAGAATAATAAGGGCAAAAAACACACCTCATATTTATTTCAATCTTCATAGCAGATTTAATGATAATCATGAATTAGTCGGGTCAATCAATTAATAAAACGTCGGATCGATCTCTAACGGCATGCAACTTATAATCAACGATTCAGAATAACAATTTTAAGGATTACGCGGTCGTCTCGTGGTTGTAATGGTAGTTAATCCGAGAGTTCAATCAAGGGTGAATTATCAAGGGTGAATTATCAAGAGTCAATTGTCAAGGGTGAATTATCAAGGGTGAATTGTCAAGAGCCAATTGTCAAGGGTGAATTATCAAGGGTGAATTGTCCAGAGTCAATTGTCAAAGGTGAATCATCAAGGGTGAATTGTCAAGGGTGAATTATCAAGAGTCAATTATCAAGGGTGAATTATCAAGGGTGAATTATCAAGAGTCAATTGTCAAGGGTGAATTATCAAGGGTGAATTGTCAAGAGCCAATTGTCAAGGGTGAATTATCAAGGGTGAATTGTCCAGAGTCAATTGTCAAAGGTGAATCATCAAGGGTGAATTGTCAAGGGTGAATTATCAAGAGTCAATTATCAAGGGTGAATTATCAAGGGTGAATTATCAAGAGTCAATTGTCAAGGGTGAATTATCAAGGGTGAATTGTCAAGAGCCAATTGTCAAGGGTGAATTATCAAGGGTGAATTGTCCAGAGTCAATTGTCAAAGGTGAATCATCAAGGGTGAATTGTCAAGGGTGAATTATCAAGAGTCAATTATCAAGGGTGAATTATCAAGGGTGAATTATCAAGAGTCAATTGTCAAGGGTGAATTATCAAGGGTGAATTGTCAAGAGTGAATTGTCAAGGGTGAATTGTCAAGGGTGAATTGTCTAGGGTGAATTAACAAGAGTCAATTGTCAAGAGTCAATTATCAAGAGTCAATTGTCACGGGTGTTACATCGTAACTCGTTCAAATCTTCGCGCGGGCTGAATGCTAGTTTCTATCTAGTTCACCGCGCCACCGCTGCGAGTTTTCCCCCCTCTCGACTCGCTGGTTTCTCGCGGGGAAGCGCTCAACCGACGCTAACCCAACCTAGTCTGCTGCACCACGTGTAACAGTCAGACCGACGCTACTCGAGCACTCAAGTTCTAATCGATCTTTTATGTGAAATCAGTGTCACTAGTAATAAAAGTGTGGATTTGTCAATCCAAAACATCTAAAAAATAAGTCTCCTCAATCTTACATTGATCCCTCGCGAAATTTGTATGAATCAAGCGGATTAAAAGTGTAGTGCAACGCCAATCGTATTGGAAGTGGTGCAACGTGCCGCTTCCTCTACACCCCTTTTTTGAAGTGGCGAACGGCCACTTCATCTAAAACCATATCGGAGGTGGTGCAACGGCCACCTCATATCGTCGTAATTTAATTACGAAAAATATCGTCTCGGAATCACAAAACGTGTGATTCCATAACCCATCCTTTGCATCATCGGCACGCGTGCGTGTGTGTGTGTCTACCTATCTATAGCTGCGTCCGACAGTTCACATCGTTGTGTTCTTAGGACAGACATTGCAGTGTAGTAGCATATGTGTATGTGTATGGAAAACAAGTGTCATTCGCAGTTGTAATCGATCTATTACATTATAATCAATAAATCTGGGTTTTTTATGCCGTAACGGCTTTTTCCCATCCAATTCTGCATTTAAATTATTTAATCCTTTTTTTTGTGTTTGTTTTAAATCGATTCTTCGCGATTTTTAATTCGACTATCATACCACCTAGGGTATGATAGCCTGTACGTCATTTCAACGGGTGAATTATTAACAGTCAACAACTGAATTGTCAAGAATTGTAATTGACTCTTGATATTTCACTCTTGATAATTGACGCCTGATAATTGACCCTTGACAATTCACCCATGACAATTGGTACTTGACAAATCACCCTTGATAATTCACCCTTGACAATTGACTATTGATAATTTACCCTTGACAATTGACTCTTGATAATTTACCCTTGACAGTTATAAACCTCCGATGTTCTATTAAAAAAGAAATGCTGTAGGAAATCCTATAAACCACCAATGTTCTATTTTTAAAAAAATCCTATAGGAAATGCTATAGGAAATCCTATAAACCTCCGATATTCTATTAAAACCGAAATCCTATAGAAAATTCTATAAATTTCCGATTTTCTATTAAAAAAACAAATACTATAGGAAATCCCATAGGAAATCCTATAGGAATCCTATAGGAAATCCTATAGAAATTTTTCATACGTGTTTGGTTGTTAATGACAGTGGCCGTCATTATAAATCCTCTAACAATGAATTGATTCTGAGATAACCTATATTGTTTCAACCATACGATTTCACCCTTAAAATGCGCCCTGTTACCCCTGTGGTTTCACCCTTAACATGCGAACCTTTATGCCATCGGTTCGAGCTCATCCACCAAACCCGGGTGGGCCAGCTCGAAAAGAACTGGGTCAAAATGGGTTTAACTTATTTTCCAAGTTGACCCCCCCCCCCCTCCCACCGCTCACATTCAGTCATTGAGAAAAATAAACAAATGGCCCAAAATGGGTTTCTTACGAATTTGACAAATTGTCACTCCCCCCACCACCCCTTTAGTCGTTGACAAAAAACACCAATGGGGTAAAATGGGTGGTTTACTTATTTACCAAATTTACCCCCCCCCCCTCTCACTCCACCTTTATTCATTTCCGAAAAAAAAACAAATGGGGTAAAACGGGTGGATTACTAATGCACCGAATTCACCCCCCTCCCCGCCCACCGGTCCACTTTTATTCATTTACAAAAAAAAAACAAATGGGGCAAAACGGGTTTGTTACTCATTTTCCAAATTTTCACTCCCTCGCCCCCCTTCATTCATTGAAAAAAAAAACAAATGGGGCAAAATGGATTTGTTTCGTATTTTTCAAATGGATACCCCCCTCCTTGAAATTTCATTCAAAATTTACTTTTATCGGGGGAGGACCTCATTAGGCACCCTAAATTTGGGATCCCTATACGGCTCTGCTTCTTCATCATAATTTTCCATTTTGCTGTTACCGACAGGGCAAATTGTGATATGAAGCTTCCGAGTTGGCCGCAAGCCGTGAGGGAGTAAAATCGCCGCGAGGATAAAATTCATTATTTTTAAAGTTTTTAAATGGCAAAACAATAGACTGGAGGTCACAAATTTCAACTAATTCATCATCATTTAATTTTTAATTAATTTTGCAAAGTTTATTTAATTAATTTTCATGCTTTTTAGGGCTAAAAAAACTTCCACGCAGCTACCACGCAATAGCGTGGTAATTATGTGGCCACTGAATCGCCAGGGTCTAGAAATTCTATAGGGATTCTATTAAAATTCTAGGGAATTCTCGTTAAAAGTCTATTTGTTGTAGATATTTGATAGGAAAAATTCAATAGATTTCGATTTGGACATAACAGTACCCCATGATATATCAAAAGTTGCTCGATAGTTATTTTCATCAACCGAACCTTTTAAATTTCACCTGGGGCCCTCTTAATGACGTTCGGGGCTGAGAGTGAAACGGTCGTACGTTTTTTTATTTTCTCGCTGTATTTGCTTTCGAATGAAAGCATGGTATTCGTCGGATTTTGACATTCTCTAATTTTACCTGGATATGATGTAAATGGTATGAAACATGAAGAAATGATGTTTCTAGAAAATGTCTGCATATCCGGGTCTGATCGTTCGGTTTTTGGGTTACCACTTTTTAGAAAATATAACATTAATTGGGGACGCTTAATAACAAGACGCCCTCTATGAATGTCTGCGTTAAGGGTGCACATCTACGATACGCAAACAAATGGGGGCTTGTGTGAGCGCGTGTGTGTATACCTCTTTGACGGCCATATTGGCAAAAAACAGGGCCCTCAACGATATTTCCTGTTTCCAATACGGGAAAATCCATTGGTATGAACGTAAAATTTTGACCCATATTAGGTACTATTAAGCTCAAGTTTGATGCACAATTTCAGCCTGATCGGTCCAGTAGTTCCTGAGATATTCAACTTTTTGTATAACACTAAATTGGTCAATATCTCAAAAACTACTTGATCGATTTCATTTTTTTTTCAGAATACTCGTCTCGATTTCTTCTATTTAGGTCAATCAAAATATATGTACTCTTTTAGACAAGGTTTTGGAGATAAATTGAAAAAGGGAATTGCTATGGAACCATTCGGAAACTTACTACCAATGGAATTGGTAGAAATGAAAAATTGAAATACGAATAAAACATAAAGTAACAGTCAGATGTCTTCTGCAATATAGGAGCCGTTAACTGCTTGTTTTATTTTCAAATTAACTCCTGAACTAAATTTTGTCCAGAAAAATATCGAGAGAATTGAATTTCCTAGGAAAAACGTATTTCATGTTTCCTTTGAAACTAATTAATTTTGTAAATATTCACAAGAAAAAAAAAAGGAAATGAAAAAAATCATGTTTTCATCTCCTTTTTCTCAATTACAACTGTTTATTTGGACTTTCAATGTCATACCAACAATCACTTTGTTATTGACACTCACCCATCACGATTCCTGTTTAAGTCCCTCCAATTGTCCCTTCGAGCCCCAAGCGTATAAGAATGAGAGGAAAACGTGGAAGATGAAATACAAAAATCGAAAATAAAGTATTGAGAATATTTCTCATGTCTACAGTAAGGAAGACAAAGCTACTGAGGATGTGATACTCACCCAGGCTCTCTGTCTCTGCCAGGCTCCCTCCAGTTGTCTCTGGGTCCAAGGTAGTTCCAACTACTGGCGTAACCTCTTTCATAACCCGGTCCCCATACCCCAGCGGAGAAATATCCGCGCGAATCAGGTCTATCTCGAGTTGGATAACGCTCGTATCGATCATCGTAGGGGCGACGGTTGTAACTTCGTTCCCAGTACGGATCATAACGCTCGTAGGGGTCATACCTATTTCCAATAATTTATTTTCAGTGTCGAATGGGCATGGAAGGGATTTCTCTTCTCTTGGAATTTATTTGGGGAGAGGTAAAACGTAACTGTGAATGCAAATGTTTGATCGTCTCGTTATAGATTGATTTCAGGGGAAAATATCGGAAAATGTTTTCCATTGGGAAACTTCAAACTCCGCAAAACAGATTCCATAATATTTCCCCGTAAAATCACTCAGTATTGAGATAATTCCATTCTTCGGAAAGATAATTTGTGATGGTGATTTAATATTTGAATTTTCACGTCTTGCCAATTGTTTTATGATCTCCATGATTCCATACCAAGCACAGGTCTTAAACAAATTCATTATCTTTCGTACTATTAGAAATATCGAAATTCTAAAAATTTCCCCACGAAATAGATAAAATTATCAACACACTGCGATTCGATTTTCTTTTTCACAGTATTTTTAATATTTTTCGTCAATACATAAACATTACGGAAATGAATTCCATATCGGATGTGTATTCAAACCTCTCGTTTATCGAGATAATTTTTATCAAAAATTCGGAGATTTTTATCGACTATACTTTATACATTCCTTTGTCGAATGGTGCAACCGAAATTTTGATTCAATAACTTAGTGATTTGTTATTAACAAATTTCCGACAATCGCCAATCTGGGCAACCGTTTGTACTATCAAACCGAGATTAGTCTTGAAAATTCCAGAAAGATCTGTATAAAGGGGTAGGCAAAAAAAATAGACCGGGAAAAAATAGCCCACACCCCCAAAACATGCTGTGGTCGATACGCTCAAGCTAACAACTTAATAATACTCGAGGTATTAAAATTAATGAAAATTTAATTATTTTCAACAAGTCAAAAATGAAAAACTGAACGAATGGAACTATATTAATTAAATTGTCCTTAGAAACTTCACTAAAATGTAAATGATTGTCTTTTTTTTGTTATTTGGTGGAGGATGAATTCAACTTGCGCACTAACACACTACACTTTGGATACTGTTGTTGGTTTATTTTGTACATGAGGTTGTGAACACAAGCGAGAGATAAAAATATCAGTTGGAGTGTTGAAGACTGATTTAAACTTCATCACCATTCGTCTAATACTGAATATTAGGTCATCCAACTTGTGGTGACACACTTTTCATTTTCTATATCTTAACAAGCGATAACCGACATATAATGATACCTTCATAACATTATTCAGTAATCTCCTCCATTACTGACGACGCGCTCCCAGACTGCTGGCAATTCTCGAACACCATGTGGAGTCACATTTTCATTCAAGCTGAAATAATCCTATACAACTCAATATCTAACTGCTCGTTGCTGTTGTAACGAGTGCCTAACAATTCCCTCTTCACGTGACCAAAACTATTGAAATCACACGGATTCATATCGGGAGAATATGGTGGGTGGAAAAGTTCTACCCAACCTTCATTGTCAATTAACTGCCGAACCATGCGTGCTGTATGTGGTCTGGCATTATCGTATAAAATAAGGGGATTTTTGATGTGATGTTCTTGTACCCATTTGGGAATATTGCCCTCCAAAAATGCCTTATAACGTTCAGATGTCATAGTTGTATTTTCTGCATAAGTCGTCCAAAAAGCGATCCCTCTTATATCCATTGCAAGTATCAGCAGCATCTTCCGTTCGTTAAGTTCTGCACGTTGTAATCTTGGCGCTGACGTACCTGGTTCCACCCAAGATCGTGATTGATGTTTTTGAAGAGGGGTATAAAATTCGACCCAACTCTCATCAACACACAGGAGCGTAGAAAGTATATTTTTATTACGACGATACCACGCCAACTTGCTACGTGCAGCTTCATATCGAAATTCTTTTTGACGGTCAGTTAAACTGTGAGGTATCCATATTGCCAATTTATTGACCAGACCTAAATCTTCGGTTAGTGCTCTATGCACAGTCGAATGAGGAGTACCAAGTTGGGTGAAAGATCGTTGACACTGACTCTAGGTGACTGACGGAGAGCTTCTGCGATTCTCTCTCTCCCTTCTAATCTATTTGATGACATTGGTCGAGGGACCCGCACCTCATCTTCAGCGGAGGTTGGACCTCGTTTATAAGTACTGAGCCAGTGTTGTATTGTTCGTTTATTTAATGCATTGCGGCCAACACATTTCACTAATAACCCGTGCGCGACTCCTCCAGAGTAATCTAATAGGGAACAAAATTTGAGGAATATTCGTTGCTCCACTACACTCACAGATTTTTTCAATTCCTCACTGCTATACTGAATGAGCAGTACTATCATGTTACTATTTTTTTCGTCAGATGGCGCAATACCATGCCAGTTGGAAAGAAAAAGGTGACACCAGAAGAGGGATGACCTGATACATTTTTCCGTTCCTTTGGCAGAGAGGGTTGGAAGATTGAGGAGGGACCTTTTAAAAATGTGAATAGTACATTACGCAACTAGGGCGGAAAGCAGGCGGTTACTCACGAGGGCAGCGCAGCCCCCCGCGAGAAAAGGGGTGTCCAGGGGGCGAAGCCCCCGGGGGGTCAGTGGCGGGGGGCTTCGCCCCCTTCCACTGAAGAAAAAAGATCACATTTATTTAAAAAAGTAATTATAAAAAAGTGTGATTGACAAATTATGCGGAACTTCTGAAGAAAAAATTAATTATATTCATTAAATATGTAATTCAAAAAACTTGTAAAGTATTTTTTTAATTGAAAAAAATTAATTATAATAATTACAAAATGCAATTTTTAAAAATCGTTAAAAATTCACAAAAAAAAAGAAAGTTAAAATTATAAAAAAATATGATACACATCGCCAATCAACTCCTCATCAGTAAATAAATCCTCCTCACTGCCTAACTCTTCATCACTATCAATAATTATACGATTTTGGCTCATTTTATCTGGTTCGAAAATCACCTTTTCATTTTTTAGTCATTCCATGCATTCACTATTCGGAGGTTAGATTTCCTTCCTTGTTATGCTCTTTTAATAGGTGATGCGCATGCGCGTCATGCGTTATTTTCGGCGCTACTTTCCAGTTGACTATAATCAACTGAAACCCATGCGGTTACACGCACGTATCATATAATAGTATATTATGTCACCAGGCGATAAAAGTATTATCTGGCGAATGTGATTATAATCCTCGCCTTCGGCTCGGATTATAATGCCACATTCGCCAGATAATGCTTTTATCGCCGTATGGCATACGATATTTTATCTCGTTGGGCCCGAAAACCGCGATCTAACCGAGCGAAGCGAAGTTAGAATCGCGGTTTTTTCGCGCCTAACGACATACAAAATTATTTGTGACTGGAAAAGTGACGTTTATAGATCTTCTACGGGAACTAAAATCATTTTAATAATAAAATGACGTACCCTCCATTCTCCATCCCTCTCACCCTTTTTCCTTTTAACAGAAATTATGTTTGTTTCAAAATATGTAAATATTCCCTGCTATCATTTCAAATTAAAAGTAGAAAATTAAATGAGATTTCGCTGACGACGAAAGACGTGTGAAAACCCATCCAATTTGAAGAATTTCCTGGGTCTATTTTTTCCGTGGCCTTTTGTTCCGGGATTCTTTTGATCATCAGTGTAGAAGTTGTCGCGTATTGAACAGCGCATTCCAGTTGACGGGAGGCCGCCGGCCGATGAGGACACACTGCGTGATATGGATGGCGTTCTTGAGGGGTTAAAGGTCGAACGGGTCAGTGCGGAGTGATCAGAAAGGGGCATTTTTTAGACCCTCAAATCCAAGTGCCCTCAAGCTATCGTTTGGCCCTTATCCTCGAACTTCATAAAGGATCGTTTGACCCTCAACGGCTTCAACACCAGTTAACCCATTGAACGATCAAGCTCACGAAACGTATCGGTGTGGCAACGGTGCAACCAATGAGCACGCATCACATGGTTGTGTGCGGTAGTGGCCAAGCGTACATAATAATGACACCAATTTTTTAATAGAGAATATCTTCAATAAACACGATATTTAAAAAATTGTTTTTTTTTCTGTGAGTACACGGAGAGAAATTTATTAGAAAAATTCTAGTGCTAGCACGGAAAAACAAAGAGCAGCCAAGTGACGGCCAGGAAAAAATTCCAGTGCCGGCACTAGAACTTTTATTGGGGAAAACGTGAATTTTTCCTGTATTTCTGTGAAAATTTCACAGAAATCCCCAGCAATTTTACCAGAAATACCAAGAAATTTTACCTTAACGGCACTAGAATTGTTCACAGCCGGTGGATTGTAAATTTTTCCAGTACTCGTACTAGAATTTTTCTGGAAAATTTCTCTCCATGTAATGAGAAAAAACATCGATTTTTTTGGCCGACTGTAATGGTTGGGTGAGTTAGGTGTTGCTCCAGCGGACATCCGAGTGCAACTGCGTTTAGCGCGGTTAGTACTGGGATGGGTGACCGCTTAGGAACACTTTCGCCCAAAAATTTCGGAAGGTAGGCACGATGCAGTGGCTTAGTGTGGCCTCTAGTCAGTGTGACAGAAGGGCACATTAGGGATCTGCACAAGCGGCCGACTGTACGACTGGGGTTCTCCATGTTTTTCCATAGTCGGGGAAAAATTCTAGTGCTCGGCACCAGAAACGAGGCGGAAACTGCCGAACTCCCATATTTCAATCGAAATAAGAATAAAAATTCTAGATCAGCACGGAAATTTTGCTGTAAGTTGATCAATTTTTGCAAAGAAGCAGGAGAAAAATTCTAGAGCTGGCACTAGAAAATTTCTCGGTGTGTCAATTTTGTGGGGAATTCCGTAGAAAATTGTGGGAAAAACTTGATTAATTCTTGGTAACATTAGAAATTTTATTGTGCAGTTGGAGAATTTTTCTAGTGCTAGCACTGGAATTTTTGCCATTCTTCCTATCCTCGTACGTGTCCGCGCGACATCTGCAACGTTCGGCTCGCCGAAGTGAGTCAAGCAGCTGCACTCGGGAGTCCCGAGTGGAGACTTATAAATGGCGTCTTCAACGTCGGGTAACGTTAGCGCGTGTTCTGTAGAATTATGTGACAATCAGGGATTATTGGGCTTATTTTTCTCTGAAAGTGTGATTAACCATATCAAATTTGTGAGAAAAAAAGTGTCAAACAACCGGTCGTAGAAAATGTTGAAAATTACTGACATTATTCAGTGATGACGTTTTAAGATAATGTAATTCCCTTTAATCGTGGAACAAATGCAATAAAAAAATCTATCAAAATAATCGTTGGCTCATTTTTGTTGATACTCTAGTTAATTAATTTGAATAATGTTGATGTTATTAATGAATAATTGAGGGAAAAAAAATTGTGGTCCGGGGAAAATTTTTTCGTCTGACGAGTAATTTTTCGTTTGCCGATAAAGAAGATTTCGTGATGAAACGTCAAATTTTTTAGTGCCGAAGGGGACATTTTCATGTGCTGGGACATTGCGCCTCAATTCTAGTGCAGCACTAGAATTTTTCTCGGAATTTCCCCACAAAAATTCTCTGACTTTTCTCTCCGAATGGGGTACAGATAAGAGTAAGACGGCCCATGGTTTTTTTAATCGTTATTTTGCATCGCTTCGACTCGGTTAGGGTATACTGCGATGATGAAGACTTTAAATGGTTATATCGCACCATTCTACTCGGTCGGGATTTGAACTCGGAACCTTTCGCATGTGAGGCAACGAACTCACTGCGCCGAGCCACCGCGATACGGCCCATGGTAACGCAGATAAAAATCAGGAGAGAGAAGTGGGAGAGGCAAGGCAGACGAATGGGAAGCCTATAAAACCGTAGTGGTAGTAGGAAAGAAATATGAATAAGAAAAAAGAACATAGATTTTTTCAATAATCGATTTTTTTTCCAGAAAAATCGGTTCTCAACATCGATGTTTTTTAAAAATACCGAGTCTTCGATAATCGATGTTTTTAAAAACATCGCCCATCCCTATAGTGGGGACGCATAATGATCGTTCAATGAGTTAACCCTCAAATATAAATGAAAACAAAAATGTTTCTGAATTGTGTTCAGTAGTCTTTTCGACTGGTGTCCCATTCGGCTCCGGTCTCACTTACACATTATGAATATTATAAATTGGCTTATCTCCATGAGGAATTGTTTTATAAAAAGATGTCATGTAACACTTTCATGGAGAATTCTCTTAACTACAAAAAAAAGGATGAGGTTTCCTGATAAAACCACTCGTTATGGAAATAATCTCATGTAGTATTTTATATTTTTTTATGTATATTAAGACATAGAATTGATGAATCACTACCTCACGGGATAATTCCGATTGTACCGGTCGTATCTGTTCACGTAGGGATCATCGATGGGTCGTCTGCGGGCAGTGATCGGGTAAGGATCATATCGATTCACGTAGAGATGCCTCTGATCTACGTTGTCATAGCCGTTTCCTCGCTCAGGATAGCGATCGGTGTTATAGTCGTACTTGTCGTAGTAACGATCCCTACCGGCTTGGATGTCGTATCTGCAATTACCACAATTAAAATTAAGTCTTCATCATCATTGATTAATGATCGCCAGTAAATGACGGTCACATGAGCAGATGCCTATGACGGCTGTTATAACTCTCCTCCCTCTTTTTGTGACCGTCACAATGTGCCAAGAAAAAATGACAGTAATTTTTCATCTGTATAGATGCAGCTTCTTTTTTTCTTCATCATTTTTTATTCGAATTCATATTGTATTGGTCGACTGCGCATTTTTAAATTGAAATCATGGGAGTTTTTAATATGACGGTCGTCATGCATCTATATAGATAGTTTGACATCAATTTACTTACAAGTTATTTGTGACTATCATTTTTAGAAAAAAAAAATTCCCGATTTTTACGGTGACTCAATCGTGCAAAATCAGTGAATTGGAAATTTGATTTGTTATTAAATAATTATAATTGAATTCAAAAAAGAAAAAACATCTCTCACTTCAATTAACTCTAACACTCATAAACTGTATCATTTTCAACACGATAACCCGAATATTCGAATTGTTAATCACGTTCAGGCACTCAGTTTTTTATTTCCCTATGTATTCCTTATGGAAAATGAACTTAATGACTGCGGGACCCCTTAGAATAGGTCGACATGCCCCGTGTCTTCATTCCTGATATTTTTGATCCATAATACTACAATCTGAAGGGCAGAGATGTACAATCTCGTTACTTTTATGTCCCGAAAGCAGTCGTTACAATACGAGAAAGTATTCGTTCCTCCAGACTCATTACTCTTAAATTTTTTTTATCAATGCTTGAAATAAAAAACAAGAGTTAAAGAACGAGAAGAATCAAACGAGATGAAGAGGCGGGGTTAAATGGGAATAATGAAATCATAATTTAACATTTTATTTAATAAAATATTTTCAAAACAATATTTTATATCAGTTGAAGAATCTTCTGTCATATCCTTTGGAGCTTTTAGAGGATGTACTGGGAGTTTGCATTGAGGAACATCATCATTCGAACATTCTTTACTTTCAGGCGGCTAAGATAGAAATTTACAAAAAATACCGAATACTTTGCCATCTCGATACTCGTTACTTTCGGGTTTGAGAAATAACGGATTAAGGAACCTTTGCAGTAAATTTTGGGGCTATAGAGTGGGGAAAAATATCAAAGGTTCCGATACTCCACTGCATCCTTTGAAAAAAAAATAATGAAATGACGAAAAGTTCATGGGTGGACTGAAATTTCGTCGTTTATGTTTCTTTATACTTATTATTCATGATTAATCAATTCCAAATTATTTTTATTTCGAAATATTGTTTATCCGAATTTTTTAACAAATAAAAATTTTCATGAGAGATTGGAAAACCACGCATTTTTGTTCGACGCAGTTGGTATTGTTGTCTCCCGATAAAATCCTATACTGAGCTGTAGAATCTATAGTATATGCTTTGACTGAGTTCACACGATGGCCTCCGTCGCACGCACTCTAACCTCCCTCAACGTTGCCATGTTCAGCCATCAGTTTAGTCTAACGTAACTAAAATCCCAAACTATGCCATACATTTTCAATAATTACAAATAATCCCTGTGGTGACGGCTAATGAAATTGTGGGGATATGTTCCTGAAATATATACGGTTTTATTCGTGAAGCGTTTCGATTTTTATTCCATTGTCGATTATTTTTTTGTAATTTTTGAAAAAGTGGTGCCATAAGACTGTATGTTAATGACACATTCTTCATATTTTCTTCTCAACAATCTACGTGGTTCAACGTTTTGGGACTTCGGGAGGATATTTATGATCACTCAATGAATATATTCGCAAAATTTCAGCTCTGCAGTCCATGTCGTTCTACTGCCATATACTTACTGCAGAAGTTCCTTAAAACTAACGACTAGTTACTACCCGCACATCTCTACCGAAGGGGTCACCAATAAAATTTGTCTTCTCTCAGGACACCCTAATGTTTACACATCATTTTGAGACAGTTGCTTAGCAATAAAAAATAACAGGATAATTACCGATCTGGATAGCTCATCGGCCGTCCCACATCATGCCTCACATACGGATCATAGCGATCATATTCCTGCGGTAGTGGTTTGACACGATCATAGTCGTAAGCCGCTCCTCTCTGCCTCTCATAATCATACGCTCCCCGCATCCTATCGTAATCATAAGCAGGTCCTCTCATCCTGTCGTAATCGTAAGCGACCCTCGTCATGTCGGGAAGGGAATTGTCATAACGATCCCGGTCTCTCTTATCCGCTAAATAATCGTCGTCGTAATAGTCGTATCGATTTCTCTGCCTCCACCTGGTAAACACCCATCAATTAAATTAAACCCTAGAAACTCCAAACGAGGCCATTTTGCTCCGAATTCACTATTTCATATCATCTCTCGGGAATTCGGATCGCAAAGAGGCACAACCAGACAAATGGTTCATTTGAATTCAATTAACTTTATTCAAATCTAATGAATGGGTTCATGGAAAAGCTCTTGATGAAGCTTTCATTTACATTGAATAAGTTCTTTAACCCCAATCTGGTCGCCATACGCCACTGCGGGTTGGTCACTTCCGCAGGCATTCGCTGCGGTGTTATTTAGGATTCAGCGTTGCCGAATTCAATCTAACACTGCCCGGGTGCGTTAACCCTTCAGAACTCGCGCTATAAGCGCCGCGCCGCGTTTTTCAAATTTTCGCTTGCCTCTTGCAAAATTGAGCTTTCAAAAAATTGAAAAAATTAGAATGCCTAGCTTGAATCATTTAGAATGGATTAGCAAGGTTCTTATCCGCTGAAAATGCATCAAGGCTACGAAAAATAATAAATTGTTGAGGCTCATACGCAAAAACGGCGCCGTGCCGCCCAGTGCGAGTAACGAAGGATGTAAAATTTTCAATTCCGCTGTTGTTGTTTCCCGCTCGCCGCACGCTCGGCGCGTACCTATGAACGTGACAACGCTGCGTTACTGAAAGCACGGGCGGCGCAGCGCTCACCACGCGAGTAACGAAGGTCGGTGTCTGAGCGCGAGTTCTGAAGGGTTAAGGATGTTTAACCAAGTGTTTAAACAAGTGGACAACTTAGTTGAAAAGAAAAAGAAAATTAACGAAATAAATCATTCATGTTATGAATTATTTTTCTCATCAAATTAGAAGTGTTATGGCGTACTTTTCCGGTCTCAAAAACAATAATTAAAGAAAACGTTCATAGATAATGGAGGACTTGTGACTGCAGTGGTAACAGTCGAATTTTGATCGAGTAACATCGCACACTTCAGCTAGTAGTGCGGTTGTAACAGTGAGATGAATGTGTTATACGTGTCCATATGCTTCCAGCACTGAATTATCATCGCCGACTTTATCGACCTCGATCAGCTGTTGTGTGGTGTCGCCGCGTTGTTCGACTCGTAATGGCGGTTAATATTTTTTTAACATTTTAAAGGTCTTTATTAACATATATAACAATCAAGTACATCAAGGACATTGGACTTAAAAATAGTCCAATCAAGACTTTCCGCCCGACGTGCACATGCGTTTTTTTAACACGTCTGCAAAGAAACTCTTTGATGAGCGGGAGAAAAGTATAAACTTTCAGTGCAGGGGTGTGAAATAGTTATTTTCATCACAAGGTCCACAAAGTATTTTCTGACGANGCCTTCGGCTCGGCCTACAAAGCCACATTCGTCAGAAAATACTTTTGGACCGTGTGATGAATTCAATTTTTCGTCAGAAGGCCCGTAAACCGCGATCAAACCGAGCGAAGCGAGGTTAGAATCGCGGTTTACCGGGTCTTCTCACGAAAAAGATTATTACTAACGTGTGGCTCAAGTATGAACCTGGCATATGAGACAATGTTAAAATTATGATGAATAATGTGGGTTTTGGCTAAACATCCTTAACTGAGTATCCGGCGGTGTCGCTTAACATGGAAAAAAATAATTCATATTTTAGGTCTAAAAAAGAGAGGTATTGTATCTCTTTACCGAGAATTCTATTGGATTTCTATTGTAATTCCATTGAAAAATGTTGCAGCTTTCTACGCGTTTTTCTTCAAACGAAATCCTCAATATAAGAGATCAATAGAATTTGATTTTTCTAGACTCCTTATTCTATTGAGATTTGTTCTATGGAACTTGCTTGGCTGAAATTCCTTGAGTTTTATCATTATAATATTTATAATATCGTTATAATATTTTTACTAAGAGGAGAAAAAAATTGAGTGAAAAAAAGTCGACAAGTTTCTGTAGAAAATGTGTCAATATAAAAAGTTGTATCGAATGATGAAATTCTAATGATTTTTTCTATAAAATAGTTTCCATTGAACCATTTCTGTTAGGAAATCGTGCAAAAAGGCTGCGAATGATACCAACAGGATTCAATAGAAATCGAGTAGAATTTATCAGGAAATTTTCTAGGTTTTTCTATGAAATTTTTACATGCGTAATGTAATAATAATCTGTTATTTACATCAACAAATCGTTAATGAATTGTTAATTACATATAATTGTAACATTTTCGTTGAAATAAGTAGATGAGTTTATTCGTTTCCAACAAAAAAAAATGTTAAAATCAAGATAAATATTTTAAACGAAGAGTTTCATGACATCCCAAATAAATTATGCCTTTGGGTGTAGTATACGAGGCACTATAATGAACAATTGTTGTTGATAAGAAGAATAAAGTGACAATATCCTCCGTGTTTATCCTCCTCAAGCGCTTTCAAACCGCCGAGTGCCTGCTGGGATGCCACGACATGTCTGGGAAATTTTTCTCCCCTGGAATCACTTTCTTCAGTCACAAACTTTAGCAATAACGTTTGGGGTAAAAGACACTAGCTGTCTGCATGCCAGGTTTGTGTGTAAACGGAAATGTATTACATGATGAAAAAAATTTCAACAGTTATTTCATAAATGGAGTGAATTGATATCCCCCATTCGAGTATAAACTATCTTTGAATCAAATATATTTAATCCTTTATTCAGGTTCATGCATGTACTTAATCCTGGTATAAAATATACTCCATTCAGATTTTTTTTTCTGAATTGTGCGTCCAAACAATAATCGAAATACAGTAAAAAAATTCAAATTACTTGGAAATTGAATTTTATAATTGAAACTAAATTATTGACATTAAATTATCAAAAAAAATCATTGTCATTGAATTCCGGAATTCCTCATTGTGAATCTTTAGGATAGTTTCAGGGACTGGTGAAACAAAATTGTATTGCGATGTCCTCAGTTGAAAAAAAAACCGTGTGACATCACTACATAAGCAATCCCCTCCCCCTTCCCTTCATCGCAAAGCGTCACAATTATCCCCCTCCCCACCCCGAATCGTGTGGCGTAATATTTGAATGCCCCCGTGGAAATTCTGGCAGCTTCATCTCCGCACATATCTCCAACCGGCAATAACTCACCCTCTGTCGGAGCCTGCGGACTTGTTTGGGTCACAGGTGATGCAACGTGACTCGTAGTAGGCAGCGTCGCGGTGCTCTGGCTCACCGCGTACACCAATTGCACCAGAAGTCACGGATGAGCCCTCAGTGGCGTATCTGCTTCCGTAATACATCTCAGAGCGAGCCTGACGGTACAAGTTACCGAGAGTTGTTGCCGCCGACGGTGTTGGGCTTGGCTCATCACCCAGTGCATTATTCAACAGCAGTAGAAACACAAACAGTGTCAATTTACCCTAAAAAGAAATATACAGGACTCATTGAAGAAAAAAATAACAAACATTCGTGTAAGTTTTTTGTCATATGTAGAGAAGAAAGTGTGAAATTTGCCCCTAAAAACCAAAACATATTTTTGTAAAAAATACGCCAAGAAAAAGTTTTTGTTTGGTTCTTACTGGAAAGTAGAAATTTTTGAAAAATACAAAAAAATGAAAAAGAAAGCCAGCAATGTCGAATAAACAAACAGTACACAATCAGATTTCTGTGAGAAACATAGTTTCAAATCGAATAAGGATTTTTTTTCAATTTTTTAGGAATTAAAAAAATTAGCAGACGGAGGACCAACGTCCTCGGCGCGGATCAGAAGATGGAGAATTAAATTGATACTAGACAGTGAGTTGAAAAACTCCGCGTCACACTGCAAGTGTAGTTCTCCACACGCGCACCTGGCGGCAGCAGTTCCACTCGAGTAGGTAGAGCTAAGCAGTCACCCATCCAAGTACTAACTAGACGTAAACAAGACTTGCTAAGGAACCTGTTCGTTTTTCTCTCGGTGTGCAACTCTCAAAATGATTAAACACGGAGAGCAAAATACACGACAATCTCGTGGAAGGTCCCTCCAAAAATTAGTGTGCTACCCACCAACGCAGAGACGCATTGGAGGGTACGCTAATAATAGAAATGTAACATTCCTATAATTCTGGGGAGTGTTGTATAAAGTCGTATTAGTAATATAATTTCCCCAAATATTCCCTAGTGGAGCTCGTGCTCCGCGGGAATTATTCGAACTCAACGTCAAAATGTCGCGTATTTGATTGATCAAAATATATGTAAATAATAGAAAATAAATTTATTCAGTTTAACAAATACCCATGGGAATAAATTGAATTTAGAAAAGGATAGGAACTTGAAGACATAAATGGAATATTCCCAGATGTCTAGACACTGTGACAGCCCGAACGAAAAGGTGACAAATGGTTATTGTTTAATGACGCCCTTCGCGAAACTAAAATTTCCTCTTCGAAATTATTTTCTCTCGAATTTCTTAATCCCATCGTAAAAGCCTTTTCTAAATGGTCTGTATGACCTTCCAATTTCCATTAAATTTGTCTCTGGTTCCCTATTTATTGTCAACCTCGTAAAGTTTTTCATTGCTCTTCGTACGCCGCAATCGTCACAAAGAGACCTTTCCGAGTAGAACCCTATCATAAAACCATTGACAACTTTCCTTAATGAGTCTAGAGACTCCCTCAAATCCTAAGGCGGGAGAAAACGTCCTCCCCTTCTTTTCGCCCCCAAAACTTCTCCTCTTCTCGATGCCAGATGTTTTCCTTCCCCCCTTTTTGCCACGTTGGGCCCTACGTCACAAGCGACGCCACTAGAGAGTGGGTGGGCCCTAGAGGTCAAGCGTTGTGGGGGTGAAGAGGCCAGCCCTTCGGAATAAGTAGCGCTGTGATTGGCTCCCTACCACGTCTTAGGGGTTGCAACTTAGACTTAAGAAATTTCTGTAAAGTAGCGTAAGAACCAGAAGCTAGAAGTAAGAACACTCCTGTCTCACCGTTCGAAGAGGAAACACTTCCTCTAATTGTAATTGAATTCTTGAAGTCTCCGAATAATTTTGATTAAAAGTACAAAGTTTTAAAAGTGAAATAAACCGAGTGTCGACAACGTTATTTTGAACCTTCCCGCTTCCAGCGAGCAGAGTGCTTTAGCGCTCCACGGGCAACTTACCCGCCACCTTTCTAAAAAAATACCTAAACCCGAAATCCTCATACAACAGGAGCAAGTTAGAAAATACTAGGTGGCGCTCCACGAAGTCGCGCGCTCATCCAAAAATTCGTGTGCCACCCACAAAAATTTGCACTCTATCCGATACTCCACGTGCATTGCGAGGCCAATTCATTTTTTTAATCAAACAGGACACCACTTAGTAAAGGAGTGCAGACGAAAATGCAGTGAGTGGCACACGAAAATTTGTAGAGGACCCCGTCAGTTTTCCGTCTCTGGTTCCAAAAAATATGATTTCCTACACTAGTTTCTAATGAGCGGAAAAAGTCGGGTGCAGCACACGAAACTTTGGAGAAAGGTGGTCCGAATTATGATTGTCAGAATCCAATTTGTACAGAGTATTCTCTATTTTTGGGCCTCCTTCGGTACGTCCCATGTGTTGGTAAAGAAAGTACATTAATTTTCGAGAGATTTTTCTCTCCGTAAACTTGATACAGTGGTTACTCCCTAAAATTTCAGCCTCTGCGGCCAGAATTCAAGGAATTAAATGTTCGGGAAGCCCTTACCCTTCCATTGGAGGCAGAGCTAGGAAAGAGATGAAGAGAGCGAAAGAACCTGCGTGTGATTTTACTGCGCATTCCTGTCGCGCAGAGGGACACACAGATTTACCCAAACGCCTTTACATTCTCGATGGTGGGGGAAGTCAACTTCTCCGACTGAAATGTTAGGGATTAATCACTGTAGTTAACGACATTTAATCGGCTATAGGGACAGGGCCAAGCATAAGCACATTTACCTTACTGAGACTTGGAACACCTGAAGTTATTACACGGAATTGTTCTCAGGTTTATACTCTACCCCCGAGGTCCCAAGATCCCCTAAACATCAACGTGACACCCCGCGAAATTGATAAACGCTGTGAACGATCAATAACACTACCTAAAATGGAATGGCTTAAGCTCCGGGGTTTGCAATAGGTTTCAAAGCTTTACCCCACGACTTGGCCATCACAAAAGCGCAATTACGTGTGTTAACGTGGGAAAGTTCAAAGCTTCCGGGCGTAGAGAGAGCGTTTAAAGTAGTTGCGTTTAAGGTAGGGCCACAATGGACATTCAACGTTCAATTGCTCCTCGGCAAACTAATGAAATTTCAAAGGACAATGTGTTTGTGTTGGTGCGAGAAAACACTTCACCAATGTCTCTTCCATTCATGTTGACTTTCAATTAATGGGGAGGAGCGGATGCTTTGCAGTCGTTTGATGTTATGAATATTTGGTTTTACCGGGGATTACTGAATATATCATTGATGCATTCGAATTCATTTAACGGAGAAAAATATGGAATTCATGTATTCTAGTCAATTTTTGCTCGAGAATCCAAGGTTTTCCATTGATGATAAAGGAAATATTGAATACATTTAATCCACGCTGTATTCCATATTTGGAATTAGGTGAAACATTTTTTTGTCCACATGCAGTTGAACTTGTGGGGTCTCAATAATTTTTCAATTTGTAGATCAATATTTTTCAATCGCAATATTCAATATTTTTAATACTGAGACGTCGATTGTACCCGGAAAACCATGTAAGGCATTAACATTGTGTATTCTGTGAATAGACATTCTCTGGGTTACTTCCGGTCAGAAAGTGACACTTGATTTCATTTGAATTATTTCAATAGATGGGAATGGGCAACTTGGGTAGTCTCATCAATTTTTTATTATGCAGGCTGATAAGTAGGTAACAACATTTTATTTCTGGGGATAGTTGTTCTCGTTGTCTAATGACTCAGGCAGTCCCTTTCGGGCAGAATAAATTTCGTTGGTCTCATTCAAATAATAGAATACGTCTTCATCTGTTTTGGTGCTGCAATGACTATTTCTGAGAATTAAAAGGTTATCCAATTGATAGTTTTACTGGGGGGTCTTAATGATTTTTTTAATTGGTGATGAGTATTTTTCAATTTCAATATTCAATATATCTGGAACTGTCATCGATTATGCATTAAATACATTTAATTCCTGTCGTATACCATATTCAGAATTGAATGTACCATTTTTTATCCAACTTGAAGTTAAATTTGAAGGTCCCAATACCTTTTCATCTTGTAAAGATCATCTTTTACTTTTAATATTTAATCTCTGGAGCTGAATTGTCGACGGCGAACAATACCACCTCCAGTGCATTAATATTTTCCATATATATATTGAAATGTTTATTAGTAAAAATTTTTTCTCGCGATCCCCTATCGGCATCAATCATTATTTTTATAATATCTTTGTAATATTATTAGAAGTGGCACCTTACAATAATTAAGATTTACTTATCTTCATTGAAATTCGAACAATAATAAAATAATTGATAATTTAAAGAGTCAATTGACTATGAATTATGGAATTGTCAATTGACTATTGAGTAAATAATTCTAAATTTTATAAAAGAATTTATTCGATTAGCCAAATAATCGTCAATCTTTCGGAATTTGAATATTTAATTGATGATTAATTTGATAATTGAAAAATTGTTGGATAACATTTACCACTTAACTAATGCAAAACTCACCTTAATTTAAAATCGATCGAGGTCCAGTGGTCGCGGTCGTTAAATCGTTAGTTTGGCTTGACGATTAGACGGTCGTGGGTGCGAATCCCAGTCGGGGTGGAATTTTTAACTTCTGATCACAGGGGTTGGGGATTCCACTGAGTGGCTGGGGTTCAGATCTCGGCAGGGAAGGGCCGTTAACTTCTGCGAAGGGTTTAAGGGCCTACCTGGGCCTACCTGGGCCTAGGCTTTGGGCGAGCGGGAGGTTGCTAATAGAGTAACCGACTGTACCGACATGGGTTTTCTGTGGTTTCCCACAAAGAGGATAGACCTGAGTAGAGGCCCGGATCGGGGGGTTTGACTGACTCCAAAAATGTTAGTTGGTACCCCACGGGAAAGGCAGCGTCCCGGTCGAATTGTCGGTAAATGTGAGTCGGGTGAGTGAGTAACTCGGCAGTAGCAGTCCCGCTCTCCCGCTGTGACAGGGACAGGTTCGGAAGGGTACTTTTGTCCGCCTTGTGCTCAATGTTTACTTTATGTTTTTCAGTTGATTTATTCGCCGACTAATTAATATTAAGGGATGAAACAAAGACTGTTGAATGGAGAATTAAATTCCCC